GCTTTATTTGAAGACAGTTTGATCACTTTAAAATTTGATTTACTGTTCCACAGACACAACTAAGCAACTAATCTTCCAGGACAAATGTGACACATAAGAACAGCTAAACTGAAACATATAAATCGCACATATCCTTAAAAATATTATTGTCTGTAATTTAATCTAACAATATTTCTAGGCCTATAACCCTGCACGCAGAAGCAATTTCCCAAGCATTAATACTTAAATGGGTCATATGCACTACATCTGTCATTCTGTCCTGAAGTCTATGAGGCACAACCAAGACTCTGCAAGCCTATTGATTTTTCTAGCATTTGCTTTAATTTACTTAACCATTGAGAAATCCATCAGTACATAAAGGGCAACTGTCCATTACTGCCTCATTTGCAGACATTCTTTCTATTCATTCTCCACCCCAACCCACCGGTGCCTCTCCTCTTTTGGTATAAATGCTTAAAGATGCTTCTGTATTTATGATGCAAAAGGCAGAGTGGGGGAAGGGAGATGTCTGGAAGATGACTCACACCTGTTCTATTCAGTGAATTGCTGCACTGAAGTATACCTAATGTGCTTTAAAATAGAAAATAATATCTAGACTTTATAAATCTCTGTGCAAAGTGTGTAAATTAGGTCCTAATTATATTAACATGGAATCTGCCTCCTAGCTTAAATGCTACATGAGGCCTCTCTAAACAGGCAGAGCTCTACTGCAGTTCCTTTATGACGAGATGATTACTACTGCTTCTTAGATTGTCACTAAATATTCTGTTTACAAATAAACCATGAAACCTTGAGCCAACTTTTCAAGGATAATCATCTGAGGTTTTTTTCCCCCTACTCCACACCATCCCTGTTCTAGCAAACCTCCACTACATATGCATGGCAACAATCAAAAGCCCAGGCTTCATCTAATTACTCTATCACATAATTTCACAAATTGCCTTTTCGCTGGGGAGCCAAGTGCAAAACACACTCACAGTGGGATTTCAGGCAGCAGCTTTCATTTACTACTCATTTCTTGTTAAATTAAACACAAAAACACCAGTTGTGTGAAAGAAGTCAAAATGAAGGCTTGTAAATGAGCCAGGCGAGCAGATCTCATATTCATACCACTGTTGGAAAATAGCTTGTTGGCAAGCTGCATTTTTAATTGCAGTGCAATATCCCTTAACCCTTTTGAAGTCCTAATGCATTTTCAGAATTACAACTAGCAAACTCTAGAAAAACAAACAAAAGGACATTTCCTAAGCTTTGCCAGCAATGTAACATTATATCAACCACACAAATGTACATTTTATACAGGCCAAAATCGAAGTGGTTTTGTTAATAGTCTAGGAAGATTATAAACCTTCAGCTCATAATGTGTTGTACTAATGCTAATAAATCCAAACATCTGATATTGTTGTGGTGAGCAAATGTCAATTAAAGCCCAATTGTGTCCTATAAAAACCAAGCCACATTGATTATGATTTGGATAGACTTCAAGCCTCTGAAGTGTGTAGTAGAAAGGATCAATTATAACACTACAACAGGTTAAGTAACCATCATGCCATATGTTTAATAGTCATACATATCTTTTTTCTTCCTTTTTCCACTCATGTGTCTCTTTTTCCTTTATTGTATTTTTATTTTTGTGGGTTTTTTTTGTCATTTTAAAAAGCAATAAAATAAATAAAACATTTAATAGTCACACATACTTTCAATTCTTCACACATACATTTTCTTTTCCCTAAGATGAGTGAAATTTGCATGAGGAATCAATAATTACTCTGGATGGAACCCTCAGTTCTTTCTCTATTAGTAGGACAGAATTTCAGCTTAAAAGCAGCAGTAGAGACCTAAGGGTTATGTTGTTTTTTACATTAAGTTTACAACTTAAATGACATTTTGATAACCAGTCAAACTCAGGGCTAAATACAGTTGTTTTAAAAGCAATATTGTTCTTCTGTACCGCTACCATTTCCTATCAGCAGCAAAAGCTCTGTCCCAGTTCTCTGCAGAGGGAAACATTAGCAGCAGCTGTTTGTATATTCCCACATTAAAAATCCTATTCACAGACAGGTGGAATAATTTAAAAGCCAATGTGGTACCATTTTGTTGTAAGCAGTGTAATCGTTTATCCCTCAAAATGGTACGCCTCATATTTATGAAAACATAAGTAAAATTACATATTATTCCCACAAATCTTAAAACTCTTTATTATTGCCTGCTTACAAAATGATCCCACCTCATATTTGTGATTTAATAGCACTCTAAGGTTGAATGAGCTCTCTTCCATGGATGTAACTACAAATATTTTATTCTACCTTGAAAACAGAGGATAACTGCATATATACTCTGTACACATTTTCTAACATATGTATGAAATTCAGCTCCCGGTATATGAAATGTATATGACTAAGTACATACTTAAATATACTATATCCTGAAAATTCTGGGAATTGAAGAATCAAACCCAATATCACAAATAGGTTTTTATATCTGAAAAATAGTTTACTACTACTGGGATGGAGAGGACTATATTTTAAAGTGGGATATGTGGGAGAACAAACATTAACAGAGATGTCAATATGATGCAAAGATTATCTATAAAAAAATCTATAGCCTGTCCTGTACAGTTTCACGGAATACAGCAAAAGCTAGGAATGCCACCAAATCTTGAGCTGCAACATCAAGAAGTATTTTCCTCACAGACATAGAACACATACAGAAATTATAGGTCATTTTTTAAAAAATTCTGAAAATTCTTAACTTTCACTTCAGGTAGATGCATTTTGCAAGTTTCTCTTTTGTTTCAAACATCTGCCATACTTACTTGACCAAAGACCTAACACTATCTTTCTCAGGTTAATTGAGAATTTGATTTCTCACCACTATGATTTTTCCTTTTTACACTACATTTGCTAAAGCCATAGGAGCCGGGACTGAAAGAAACTAACCCAATATTATATGTAAGAATTTGTGTTCTTTATGAAATTATGATTTTAGCACATAACTGTAAATAAAATATTTTACTAACACTAGAATAAAGGTAAGTCAATTAAATATAAGTTCCGATTCCATACTTCCCATCACATATTTGGAAACGTCCTTTCAAAATTCATAATGTTAAATACAGATTAGATCCATTGTTAGTAATGTGACTGCAAAACAATAATGAACTATTCAAAGAAGCTGCCCAAAACATGTCCAGCATTATACTCATGAATGAAAGCAACCCTATTAGCTATCAGTTATCTAGATTTAGTTGGAACACATCCAAATGAAGGACCTTTACCACTTCTCCAGGCTTTTCTGTTTAATGGCTCTTACTCTGATATGTCTTGACTCATCATCACCCCTCAAATATGTGCAGAGAAAAGTTTATGTTAGAACAAATGCTTGATTCATTCTGTTATGAAAACTTCTTTTTTCAGTGAGAGAGAGAAAAAAAAACCAATTTGGGTTGACTCAAAAGGGAGCCCCCATCTTAGAGAACATATTTGGAACATCTAAAATGGCATCTGTCCAATGAAGGCCTACTTGGTAGCTAAACTCCCATCCTTTCCAGATATTTAATGGAATAATTTTACCCATAGGAGGAATGGAATTAATAAATGGCAGCCACACCAAGTCCAGTTGGCATTGCAACAGAATCACTAGTGGCATTATTCTAGGGAGATACTGACTTTTAAGACTTTGTAAGACTGGTTGAGGTAATGAAAGATGAAGAGTGAAAATTATGAGTTCAGCCATCACAAGAAAGACAGTTATGAATATAATGATAAATGTAACCTGTGCTTGAATTTATGGAGAAGTAGAGACTGGAGACTCTGTGGTGATAGAAATACCTTTTGTGCATTCCTCAGAGGCATTTTACTCAGTGCTCTAAAACCTAACTTTGGTGATGAAAATGGGCTGCTGGGTTAAACTCTGATAAGTCTTTGCACAAACAAACTGAGAGGCAGGAGCATGTTTGGAACTTGCCTATGCAAGACAAAAAGGAGTGCCTACTTTTATGAAGAGTTGTTGGAAGAAAAGAGTTGTTTTATGAAAAGTTGTTGGAAGAAGGGATAAACGATGATTATGTTGCATTAATATGTGGGGGGGAAGACAGAGAAAGAAAAAAATGCTTAGGTTTGATTTTTTCCCCCCTAGAAGTCATATTTCTTAATATAAATGAGAAGGAAATGATACTTTATCAGGAAATATATGGGACAATTTATTAATGCTTAACTTGAATTCACTCAGTAATTAATAATTTTGGACTAGAAACTTGCACACTTGTTTCAGTATTTCTCAGTCACAAACTATCACCTATATTTTATTAAAAAAATATATCATAGCACATACTTTTAATTCGCCATATAGAGAGGTACCACATCACTGCTTTAGCTATCCATTGCTACTATATCTTCAGTTACTTCCCACTTTCTATTCCTAGCATATTAAAGCCTGGATTGGACAGGTCTCATTGTTATTCATCAGGGAATAGTGCTGGGCTCTTCACCTCTGGTCCTATTCACTCAACCATTTCCATCTGTGTATTTCAGAATAAGGATAGACAAAATCTATTTTTGGTTCAAGTCACTTTCACATGCAATCAGTCTCTCCATCCCTATCTCATTTCTTCACCAACTTGGTTTTGTTTTAATTAATGAACATTTCTAATTTAAATAACTTTTTCTTAACCAAAACGTAAAGATGTCCCTAACCAGTTGTGTCCGACTCTAGGGGGACGGTGCTCATCTCCATTTCTTGGCTGAGAGAGCCAGTGTCCTTTGAAAACATTTTCCGTGCTCATGTGGCCAGCATGGCTATATGCCAAGGGCACATTAAATGTTATGACTTTCCCAATAAAGTGGTACCTATTAACCTACATGGATTTCCATGCTAGGTGGGCAGGAGATGGGCCAAGGAACGGGAGCTAACACTGTTGTGTGGTGCTTGGATCTCGAACCCAGACCGTCAGCTCTCCAGTTGACAAGCTCAGTATCTTTAACAGCTGAGCCATTGAGCCCCCCCATATGGAACTCTTCACAAATTTGTGTGTCATCCTTTCGTAGGGGGCCATGCTAATCTTCTCTGTATTGTTCCAATTTTGGTATATATGCTGCTGAAGTGAGCACAACCAAAATGTAACTTTATATAAATTCTATCCTTAAGCAGGTATTTTGAAATCTGGAGAACTACAAAATCTCGAACAAAAAGATATGGCACTTTGAGCCTTAGTCCCCAAAAGTATATATTAAAATTTGGTCAATGTAAATATAAGCAGAGATGTTGTGAGAAATTGCGGGGAGGGGTAAGTAAATGATGAAGGCAGTGTTATCTACATGTGATAACAAATGTGCATATGAAAGAGACGGATCTTGATGCTGCTTGGGAAATGCTGACAAAAGCATTGGATCCTATAGATGCTGCTAATTACCGTATTTATCGGCGTATAACACGCACTTTTTCCCCCTGAAAATAGGGGGCAAATGATGTGTGCGTGTTATACGCCGATATAATGTTAAGAAGTGGTAATAATATTAATAAAAAAAAGTTCTGAGCTACCCTTATTTTGCTTCAAAGTTCTTTATTTGAAATTTAAGTTTTTTTCCTGAAATTTCCCTCTTAAAATGACGGTGCGTGTTATACGCCTGTGCGTGTTATACGCCGATAAATACGGTATACGTAGTAACAAATGTAAATCCTCAAGAATCCTTAAAGCAGAGGCCCATACTAGAACAAAAAATGTTTGTGAACACCATAGGAAATTATACCATCCTAACTTGATTTCAACTCATGTTCATTACTATTAAACATTAGAGTCTAGACCCCAACCTATTGTACCACAAACTGTAAATAATATTTAAATTATTGCAAATTCTAGAAACAGTTAAATATCTAGATTTAGCAAAGTAAGGTTATTTTAAATTGCAAAAATATATTTTTTAAATTACAGTATTCATATGCAACACGTATGTTAACAATAAACATTCATGGGCTAATAATGATTTACAATACTATGTACTGTAAATCAGAAAATGAACAATTTCAAAGAACCAAAGTAAGTGATGTATTGGGCTATAATTGGGGATACCTAGGTTCAAGTCCAAGTATGGTAACTCAGCAGCTGATTTTGGGACAGTCACTTTCATCCAGCTCGGGCAGTCACTTTTTTTGGGGGGGCAACAGAGGAAGAAAGGTTATATATATATTGTGGAATCCTGGAGAAAAAACAAGATAAAAATCTAACCAAACTATATATGTAACTGTCTGTTTCAAAAACAACATCTATGTATGATACCAGTTCTGCAAATAGTTTGCACAATATGTGTTTTAAAGGTAGTAGATATAATTGGATTACAGCAAATTATATTACCTTAGCCCTGACTGGATGTATAATAGTCAGATTTCAACTCCTTAAAATTCAAAGGAAAACAGATAGTTGAACACTATCTACTATAATTAATCATTGCTTATTATTATTACTTATTCTCGTATCCGAAGCCAGCTACTATATTACTTAGAAAATTGTTTCTTTCGTAAATAACCTTGTTCATTTTAACTTCCTATAGGAGTTATCCAAATTTTCTTTAAATAAATTAATTTCTAGGAGTTTTTTTATTTCAAAAATACATTTTTTTCCTAAGCTCAAAAAATCCTAAACTTTTGGGGCTGGTAAGCACATTTGATTTGTAGGAACATATCATGGGAACTCACACAAAATGGCTGTCCTGGAGGGTGTGGTCAGTCACAAAGCAACCTTTACATAAAATAAATTGGTAAGGATGTTTGCTGCCACTGCCTCTAGTCCCTTGCCCCCAGATTCTCTCTATATCTGTTTACCTTCTTTTTCCCGAACAGCAACCATTCACTATTTTTAATTTCAAAGAACACCCCAGTGTTTAGTTATGACCCTAAGGCAATCTTAGAAATAAATATGATAGCTTGCTATATAACACCTAGCTTCCCATTTCATTTTTTTTTAATTAAAAGAAGCTTAATAAAACAAAATAAATTAAAATCAAATGAAGTGTGGAGTCTGAGGGCCCTAAGGGAGGTATTATCAGGTACCTTGACCCTGCCCACATCACACTGGAGACCCAGACTATGGCTTAATGGTTTATTAGCCAGGTATGGAAGATGGAAGATGACAGAACAAATGCACCTGTATGACTTATAATTATCCTGTGAAAAAGTTTCCCTCTTTGAAGCATGGAAACTCAAGAGGTATTGCTCTGTTTAAAATAAGCAAAGGTAATTATGTAGCAGATATAAATTTTATAAGATGGGTGTGACTCACATCTACAAGGAGCACAATGGCTTCAAAGTCCACAATTAAAAAAATGAACCCTTAGAAAATTATTAGCAATACTAAAGCACATAATTCACAGGTAAGTGCAGGAAAACATTATTATATAATCTTCAGCAGCTCCCTGCATTACTCCAACTCAGTTTACTTACAAAGTTAAACTTTTTGAAAATCAGAATTACCTTAAGAAAGGAGCCCTGTTGGCAAAATGGTTAGAATGCAGCATTGCAGGTTAACTCTGCCCAGAGCCAGGAGTTCGATCCTGACCTGCTCAAGGTTGACTCAGCCTTCCATCCTTCTGAGGTCAGTAAAATGAGGACTCAAATTGTTGGGGGCAATATGCTGACTCTTTAAACCGCTTAGAGCACACTGGTGTCAAACTTGATCGCATCACATGATGTATCGCGCCATTTTTTGCCTTTGAAGAGCCAGGTTGGGAGTGGCCTGTGTATGATGCATCTGGCCTGCAGGCCGCCAGTTTGACACCCCTGGCTTAGAGAGTGCTATAAAGCACTATAGCAGTGGTTCTCAACCTGTGGGTCGGGACCCCATTTGGGGTCGATCGACCATTTCATGGGGGTCGCCAAGCAAGGCTGTCCACCATTTTTTTTGTCCGCCATTTTTTTTGTCCGCCATTTTTTCCCCCTTTTCCGGCGGGTGCCTTACCTCCCTTGGGCTGGGCCAGCTGGTGGTCGGCCTGCTCCGTCTCTGCCGCTTGCCAGCTACGCCTCGGCCGGCGCAGGGGGCGGAACCACACATGCGCGGCACTCCCGGGCAGGGAAAGTCCTCAACTTACGACCGGTTGTGTAGTCCTCGACTTACGACCGGTTTAGTCCTCGACTTACGACCAGTTGGGGTCGCGGCATTAAAAAGGTTGAGAACCACTGCACTATAGGGTGGTAGATACGTTTAAGTGCTATTGCTATTTTTGGAAGCTAGTTTGCATGCACAATTAACTTTAGTGGCCTCAATGCAAGGCTAGTGTATAAGGCATCTGGATTGTTATTTATGAAATATTGGATTGGAGTCACAGGACTCCTTTTGTGGGTAAAGAATCTTTTGGAGCCAATCACATGTTTCCAATTACAGTTCATGAAATGCAGTCTATGTGGTCCCACTGAGACCAAGTCAAGAAAGTAGTTTTGTATTTTGGCTTGTTCCAAATTACAATTATAATCTGAAACAGATTTAATGGCAAAGTATTCTAGTGCAGACAGTTACATTTCCTTTTGAGTTTTTGTTGGTACTTTTTGCTTCAGTATGATTTCTTATGAAGTAATTTAAAAACCTATTTCAATATGTAGCTCAAGATGGCACAGAATTGTCAAATATTGTAAGGTTTAGTAACAGTATTACTCAACATAGTTTTTTTTAAGCTACCTACCTACCTATCTAACTACCTACATCTCAGATTTACCATAGATTATTCAGGTGTAGTCCCTCCCCCCACTAATTGCCTGTGATTGTGGGGAGGAGCTCATCTTACATACAGTGAGAAAAAAATGCTTTTGGAAACTAGTGAATGAGGGAATGCAATTGGCTGCAGACGTTGTTAAAAAATGTGAATTCCCCTGAATTAACCATTGCTTGGAAGGCTGCTTACTTGCTGAAATTTAATTCTTTTTGTAATACCTAAAGTGTTTCTTCTCTCTCTTTGATTTCCTTTCTTCAGTTCCACTTTCTCTTCCCATTATCTGTATTAATCTTTGTTTCCCTCACTTCCCTTCCCACTTTTTCCTCTTCCTATGTCTTCATTTTCTTGTCTCACTTCTGTTAAAAGGAAGGATAGGAATAGATACATGTTTTTGTTTTGTGTATGAGTATGGTTGGTATGCAGATGGAAATCAATTAGTTTATTAATGAGAAGCTTTATTTTACAAGCAATTACACTTGATATCAGTTCAAATAACTTTTTTTCTTTGAGGCCTGTTCTTTTTTGGAGAGATTCTAACAGATATGGCACTATATTTTGACTATGTCTATTCTCTTCTCTTTTTTCTGTTCTTCTTTTTTGACAGAATTATCTTAAAGTAATAGTTTTCCTTCCAGTAACTAAGCTGCCCTATAAATTAGCTAAACAATGTTAATATGCATGAGATATTATATCACCTTGTTTCAGATCACTACAGTATGTACCACATTCCTAAGATAGTGCTTTGGTAAATTCCAGCTGTACTATAAAATATTCTTTGAAGATACAGTCTGAATTATTCAATTAGTATACAATTTGCCTATCTTCTTTATTACAAGATGAAATATTCTTCTGGTTCTAATAAAGCAGCACAAGTCATCAAATCATTTCAGGGCACAATTCAATGTATTTTTCTTAATCTTAAATAGCTGGTTAACTAAGGAGGCACTTTTGCCTTTATCAGGCTCCATGTACACAAAGATCCTCAGAAAATGCTCTGTTTTCCTGAAATCAGACCGGCGGGGGTGGGGAGGGTGGGGGACAAAGCTATCTCAGCAACAGTATAATCTCTTTGGAGCTCCCTATTCAGAGGGCATCTAGAGGGCAAGATAGATGAGGTTTTAAACCAGGCTGGCAATTCATTTTTCTACAATGGCTACAATATGTTATGAGTTAAACAAAAAATGCTAAAATCATTATAAGCTTTATCATTCATTTTAAAGATCTGGCTTTAAATAATCACCTTGAGGTGAAATATAATGGAAGTAACAAACAATCAACAATACCGCAAGGAAGTCAGAGTCTAAATTTTGTTGTTGTTTTGTATTGCTTTATTTGTTTTGTAAACTACTCTGGAAATTTTTGCTGTCATGGGGTAGAATATAAATGGAAATAATATACAAAATATTTTCAGA